GTGCGTTTCTCTAAGTCTTCCTACCAATATGACCGAGTTGCGAAAACAAGGTCAAACAACTTCTATTCAATGAAAGAACACTGCGACAACACAAAAGGCCACACCATCTTGGTCTTTATACCTTCGTATAAACTTTATTGTTTGAACCAAATCTTGTCCGCAAATAAAGAAAATGGCTCTGACAACGATCGTACAATCCCAGAAAAGGCATTTTCACTATTAACTTAAACTACGGAACTTAATATCATAATTAATGCTGCATTTAGGTAATACTGCTGCCGCTTTTTGACGTAGGAGTAAGCAAAGTTAGGAGGGTGCATGGCGCTTGCGACCTAAACTTGTGGCCGTTTTTTCTTAGGCAAAGGGGGTTGTAAAGGCGCTATCGTCAACTGAAAGCATGAGTTATGCTAAGGCTGGCTTAAACAGTCGGCGTCGTCTACTGTTCGTGAGCAGACGCACATGGTTGAATGCTTTCTACACTTTAAGCACTTGTGCAGTTGCTTAAAGGCTTGCTTTGTGTTTAGGTTTTGGAGGATCTGCGTATAGTAACTCAATTGTGCGGTTAAATCTGGAAACGCATTATTTCAAATAACTCACGCTTAGAAATGGACTAATTCTTTCTCCACCCCCTTTTTTCCACTAGCCCCCATCACTCTCACGCTTAAGGGCCGGCATCAGCTTCTGCACCGCCCATGGGTAAGCCACGTAAACTAATATGATAGTCATGCTCTTTTTTTGATCATCAACTCTAGGTATTTACTAGCATATAACCATAACTCGTATGAACTTGTTTTCCTTTTTAGTTGCTTCACGTGTGTCACTTATTTAGCATGTATTAACCCACCCTATAGTTTCTTATTGCTTACTAGACGCCCGGGGATCATGCGTGGTAGTCACGGTTTAGTTCAATATATTCTCCGATCGCATTAACCTTGCCGGAGCTTCATGACAAACTTCTAACTTAACCAAACTGGGGTGTTATAAATAGCCATACCACCTACGAGCCCTTTGGCTCCGCCCATATACACTCGTATCGACTACCGGCCATTTCGCCCACTAATCGAACTGACCTGAAGTGGGTGCATGACAGAAGCATACAAATTTGCCCACACATACGCGGGTCGCAACCTAAGCCAAAAAAGCTCGATAGTATCATTTATCGACACACGAATAGTCATTTTATGATATAGAACTTCTAAACGGTAAGGCAATGCAAGGCCCCACTGATGCAGCCAAGTTAGCATCACTCTTATTGAGACCATAATCCAGATGATTTCAAGGGCACATTCAAGAAATTATTAGCAACCGCTGCAGGTCGTGACGAGCCCTACCTCAGCTCTCTTTAATGAGACCACTGATAAGACGTATCTTGGGTTTCATTAGCAATAGCTCGGGGTTGACATACGTTTGCTTTGTCGGAAATCCAACAAAGGAATGTGGTGTAGGAAAAGGCCTGTACTTACTTGAAATTCACATCCGCCCTGTGGACCAGTCCGGCCGAGTGATTAACGTGACAAGCTCACATACCGCGCTGTGGTTAGATTCCCGCTGGGGGCGTTGATAAGGCCCATGCGAATTCGAAACTGCAATCCAGCTTTTGGGAAAGCAAGGCTATATAAAATTAAATACAAATGCCGACTCATGCAAATATTTATTGGTAATCCCGAAGCTCTACTTATGTACGAATGTACACGTACTATTTCCACCGTATATGTCATGAATCTAGTCAAAATTATTTTTTGAAATTTAGATCGGGATAAACATGGGAGTGAACTTCCTTATTCCACGATCTCTATTGCCTCAGAAGCCTTCCTTCGTACAAATTGTCAATGAGGACAGCTGGGCGATCGACGAGCTTACTGTCACCTTCTTGCTGTATGACTATAAAGACCCCGAGTGCATAAGAAATTCAACGAATGGAAATAGAAGACGGAGCAATACATATACGATAGAGGTGTGATAAGTGATATATTGTTTATCATGAACACTAATAGCTTCTGCGTTTTTATAACCATATTTCCTCTCTTTAATTCATCAGCTGTTCGACAGTTGGGGTAGATCGTTATTAACTAACTCCAGAGAAGTGCAGCCGCTTAGATCAAATGAAGTATCGCAACTGGATCCCGCTTTGAGTTTCATCATAAGAGCGCCGCCAGAGGCACAAATGACGCGCTCGATTGCTCCATTGACGGCGGGTGCTTTACATCCAATAGGCCTACAAATAGGATCTGGACAATTAGCTATCTATGCTAGAGTACATTCATCGGCAACGGGCCGTCTTCTTCACCAAGGAAGCAATCCACTGATTTTGAATTTAAACGGCAATCCCACCACCGGACTTGGCCTTAATGAATGGAAGGATTTCCTTGCTGTCCTCATGTATACACCCCTTGTCATGTTTTTCATTGGTGTACAAACTTTTAGATTGATGAAAACCGAAATAAATTAAAAAATTTAAGTGTTTTCACGTGTAATTCGGGAGGGTGCAGTAGAGCTTATATTCCCACTAAAATGAAAATATTTAAGTAACAAATACAAGCACTGCGATTATGCCGCTTCAGATAATGTCAGGATATTATGAATGTACTCCAAGACAAGACTTGTAGGAGCTGTCGAATCATCGCAGAATATGAGATTCGGTATCACTGTGAAGTGGAACTCGCGGACTTGCCACCTCTTATTCTTTTCTTGCCCTTGCCTCTTAGCTCCCTCAAACGATCCATTTCTTCATTAAAATCGGCATGCTCGTTGCGAAATAAGCCGAACATCCGCATCTTGTATAAGATAGCTTCATATTCCTCTAATGGAGGGTACCAATCTTTTCGAATAAGAGCGAAAGATTTATCCCTCATTAATTTCACAACTTTTAGGGACTTCTGCTCAATAGGAGATCTAACCCCAACGAATATGTTGCCGGCGAGATGAGCCATCCGGTTAGCGAACTTGGCGGCCATAGTGGAGCCAGTCAAATCACGGCAACTAAAATGTAAAAACTTAAAATAAATAATTTATTTGCTAAAAAATTATTTTGTATAGATTATTTTTATATTTATAATTTTGTAGGGTAAATTAGGGCCCGCTAATTTCAACCACGCGTATCTACTGCCGCGTGCTCCTCCACTATGTCCTCCCGGAATTATGTATGTTTTATCTTTCAATCCATTTATCCTTTTTATTACGTGAAAAAGAAGGATTTTACGCTAGCGCAAACTTACTATGGTGCTTGTTTTTTAGTTATTGATAAATAATTCTGCTTAACCTATTGATGATCAGCTTTTGAGGCTATCCTTCGCTAGTTTATGTTACAGTTTATTATTAATTATCTCTCTAAGTTTATTTTCACTTTATACGCTCCATATTGGTGCTGTTATATCTATTATTGTATCCAATAATACCTTTCAGATCTACTGATTTTTCGTGTAGTGATAGCCTATGCTTTCTCTTAACATAACCCACATTTTTGTTGCCATTTTGTCAGCTGTCTTAAATTTGGTTCCATGTATTAAGAACTTGTTTTTAACAATCACTTTGTTAGACAATTTCTAATTTCTGTGTCTAACTTTTTTATTGATATTTCTAAGTAACTCTGCCACATATATATGCAATGTATCAATTAGTAGACACTTTTTATGCGGATAGAATTTCGTCACTGTAGACAAATTTATATCGGTATCATTTTGTTAATCATCCGAGTTTGATTTTAAGTATCATTTTCTCTTAGACACAAGTCTACCATGCATGCATTTCTCAAAAGCAGCGAATATCCTCTCCTTCAACGGCAATTTATAATTTCCATTGTTGCTTTTGGATTCCGAACCAAGGGCTACAATAGTGTATCACAATCTATAAGGTTTTGACATCCATTCTTCGGCTTACACAAAATCACCTCAACCAGACCTACCGAACATCAATTTTTGACTTCAGATGTGATCATACTATTTATTTGTTCAAAGCATTATAAGAATTTATTATAAAGGCCTTAAGATTCAGATTATTATTGGCGGTCAACTATTTAATGTCGCCCAACTCGATTATTGATACAAGAAGATATATCATTTGAAAACGACGAGAATCTTAATGAAACGATAACCCTGCAGTAATGATATCCCAAATCATTTTCTATTCAACCAGCTGGTTTTAATTCATATTATTGAAACATAAAGACCAAGTAAAACAGCTTTATATTATATTTTTATTATGAAAAATTATCGCATATTTTACAAATAAAATAAGGCTTAATTATAGTTATTAATAGATGGTACTACGCGTTAAGTCTTCAAATATTGTTTGTTCGTCTCCTTATAAGAGGAATTGCATTTGTTAAAGCAATTTTAGTGTAAGTTTTAGAAAAACCTAAACTCGTTTTCGTTCTCTAAAAAGATATCGTATTATATAATTTTTCGTCATTACTACGTTTTATTATCTTAACAGA